CTGGAGCAAAGTCTTTTGTGTAGTCCCCTTTTTCCTCCGCTCTCCAAGGGAAATTCATTAACCCGTTTTATTTACTGAGACGAAGGCAGCCTTTTTAGGGGCCCTGATATGCAGGGTAATTTCGTATTTGACACGTGTAAATACTTAGTACTCTCAGGTAAGGTCAAATTATTTATCATCTTAATTTATATTTCAATAGGCCTACAATTTAGAGTCGAGAAATGCCTCCTTATGAATCATTATGGTCTATTAGAGGAACTAATGTCTAAACAGCACTATTTGGGAGGGAATCACTTATGTTGACATTTAAATGGCTCTTCAATAGTTAAAAAAAGAGACATTCAAGTGCCTTTGATTAAATATACAATTTACAAGACCATCAGCAAAACCATCAGGGCTATAAATTCTAGGGATTTTTATTTTCAATTTTCCCAAAGTCTTTCAGGTCATATATGTCATCTCCTATGGGAAAAAATACATAAATTTCTGACAATTCCACACACCCCCACCCACCCACAAGCTAACGTCTTATCAAGGGCCCCAGATCTTGTATCTTTGTGACAAACTTAACCACTTTTTAGCACTATTGCAGGTAACTTGTAAAAGCAGCTTACCTGTCTTGCTGAAAGCCAACCATCTATCCTGATGTCACCACAGCACCCAGAACAGCCTGCTGGTGCTTTAAAGTCACCTCTATACCTGCTAATATAAACACCAGTCTCTTCCTAGCTGTCTCCTGTCTCCAATTCTAGAAGGCTCCATTATGACTCTGTAGTGTTACTTTCTCCCCTGACACATCTTTCGGGGCCTCAGATGACTTCGTGTATCTGTTTTCTAAGACCAGGCTAACATCAGAGATCCGCCTGCCTCTGCCTCCTTAGTATAATGATTAAAGGCCGGGGCTACCACACCAGGCTCATTTCCTTCCTCCTATTTGTTGGTTTCCAAGTTTTTTGTTTGTTTATAAACAAACATAAACATATAAACAAAGCATAGGATTCTAAACAATGTAATTAATTGTGTATCAACCATTTGGATCCCCCCTGCATGAAGAGTTCAGCTCTGTTTGGGAAGCCAGCAGAGTCTGTGGTAAGGAGAGAAACACACTCGGCTTTGTGCATGGTTATGTTGCAGTTCTTGTTTTTGTTTTTTAAAAAAGCATGGGTTATGGTAGCTTCCCCTGAGGGTGGGTCATAGACCTCCAGCAGTGCCTATGCTCCAAATTTATTAGCCTAAACTATTCTGTTCTTTATTCAGGAAAACTTAATGCTACATCTTGCAGCTGCCAAAATATGCGTGGGGGGGGCTGGTTAGGTTATACAAACTGGTTTCAATTCCTGAGCTCAAGCAATCCTCCTGCATCAGCCTTCCAAGCAGATTTACAGGTACAGACAGTTAGCGTATGACTTCCTATCAGCTTAGGGAAATGGTCCTTGTTTGTGACTATATAATACATCATCATTTATCACACCATTCTAGCCATCCTCCCTAGGTATTCTGCAGAAAGAACTGGGAACCAGACACATCCTTCATGCTGAGGCAGGGAGTGTTTGTTTTGTTTTTCGAGACAGTGTCTCTACATAATCCTGGCTGTCCTGGAACTCACCATGTAGACCAGGCTGGCCTCAAACTCATAAGAGATTTCCCTGCCTCTGCCTCCTGAGTGCTAGAATCAAAGTGTGCCACCACCCAGTTTTTTCAATCCATGTCTTCCTTAACTTCCCAAAGGCATGGCTTCCTGGTGGCAGAATATAGGGCATTTTTTCCAGACTGAGAGTCCCTTTCAGTTTCTTTCTGGGCTCTTGTCTCTGCTCCTCCGATGGTCTTGGGCCTGGATAACCCCCGACGGACAAATTTCATCCCCGTTTATGACTTTAAATACTCTCACTTGGTGATTCTTGGTTTGTTCTTTCCCAAGTTCCAGGCCACCATATCAAACTGCAGACCAGCTAGCTCACCTTGGCATCCATATTCAGCTTAGTAACCACAGCTAACATTTGCACAGTGGTTTTTAGGTAACCAAGCACACAATATAAATTGTCTATGAATTCTTGCAATTATTCAGTAAAGCAGGTAGTCACTATCCACGGGTCACATATAAAAACTGAAGTAAAGGACTTCAGAACACTCACGGGAATTTGTGCCAACAGGATTCGAACATAGGCAGCCCTCTGTCCAGAGTCCCATGTTCTTAATCACCCCCCACTACACAGCCATACACAAAATCCTACATGAGAATAAGTCCCCTCCTTCACCTTCTTCCTTGCTTCTCTGAAGCACTCTGGTAAATACAACTAATTGTACTTTCGGTATTCTACCTAAACTTCAACTTTTTGCAGTAACTATAGGCCAGACCATCTCATTCTCTTGCCTGGATGACCTAGGGTTCTAATTCCAGGTATCATTTCTCATGCTCCTCCAGTCCATCCCCTACATAGCAGCTAGACAGGCCTTTTTGTAACATGCTGCATCTGGGCTTGGTGGTGAGCACCTGCAATCCCAGTATTTAGGAAGTAGGAAGGATTATGAATTCAAGGCCAGGCAAAATCACGTTTCAAAAGATGAATCAACTAGGTGCTGGTGAGATGGCTTATCGGCTAAAAGTACCTGTTGCCAAGCCTAATAGCCTGAGTTCTAGTCCCATGAGCATCGTGGTGGAAAAAGAGAACTGACTTCCGAAAGTTGTCCTCTGACCTCCACATTCAGCCTGTGCTGCATAAGCACTCAGGGACACACATATAAATAAGTGAATTTTAAAAACTAAAATCAAACACGCGGCGTGCCAGATAGCACTACCTTCATTAGTTCCTGTCACATTTGAAACAAATCTCAAACTTCTTAGGCAGGTGTGCGGTCACATCTGTAACATCAGTAGTTGGGAAGAGGGAAGCAGGAGGACCTCTAGTTTCAGGTCAGCCCGAGCTACATATTGAGTTCCAATCCAGGTTGAGCAGCATGGTGAGGTCATGTCTCTAAATAACAGACCAACAAACCTAAACTTTCTGACCTAGCAACTTGTTTTCTACCATTTCACTGCTTGCCACAGACTGCCTCATCATTTGAGCAGGCCTGCTGGCGGCTCCTGAATAAGCTCTTTCTGTTGTTAGCTTTCTAGACTGTACCCTCCTAGCGCCAATCATGGTACCTAGCACATGCATACTATGTATAACTTGATTACAGCTGAGAATGGCAGTACACTCCAGCTGGTGTTACATTGCTAGACCTTGCCACAAAAACAAACCAGGGCTGGGGATGTCACTCACTCGTTACAGTGCCCTGATTTCTACCCCTAGCAACCCCAGCAATACACTTTTAAAAAATTGGGTGTGGCACACTTCTGTGATCCCAGAACTCTGAAGGTGGATGCTGGAGGATCAGAAATTCAAGGCCCCTTTAACCTCAGCACTCCAGAGGCAGAGGCAGGTGAATCTCTGTAAGTTTGAGGGAAGACTGGTCTACAGAGCTAGTTCCAGGACAGTCAAGGTTACAAAAAGAAACAACTCTGTCTCAAAGAACCAAAAGCAACAATAACAAAAAAGAAGAAGAAAAGAAAAATTCAAGGTCATCCTCAGTTGCATAGAAAGCTGGGAGCCAGCCTGGGCCATTAGAGACTCTGTTTCAAACAACAACAACAAAACAAAGACCCAGTTTGATGGTGCACTTAGGAGGCAGAGGCAGGCGACACAGCCTACATAATGAGTTCCAGGCAGGCATGGTGAGACTCTGTCTCAAAAACAAAAATGAAAGAAAGATTGAATGAAACATAAATGAATGAATGATTGAATGCCTGATACATTGTTATTCTGTATGTAGCACAGGCTGATATTTGAAGCAAGTTCAAGAAAGCAAGACAGCTGTAGGGGTGGTGCTAATGTGCAGGGAGTGGATCTGTGGTTCTGGGGAAGACTGAGGCAGAAGTAATTAGCTAAGTCAAGTACAAGGCAAGAAGAGGAAATACCATCTGGAAAGACCCACGGGAGCATGAGATGAATATACACAGCTCTTTCTTGGTCAGAGGAGCCAAGTGACTTACTTGGGTGCACATGTTTCTGGAAGATCCCTAGGAGGCCCCTTAGTCTTCCCAAGTGCAAAATATCATCTCCAGGTGACATCAGGAGCCCTTAGCCAAGATCAAGCCAAACCCCTTTAGTATTCCTTGCCTATTCCTGATCACTCAAGACAGGGTCTAACTGTATAGCTTAGGGTTACAGGTACACACCACCATGCTCAGCTAACTCAGCTGTTACCTGGTGCCAAAAATTGTAGGCTCTTCCTCCTCAAGACCCTCAGGGCCCATCAATGTGGGCTCTGGTCATAACTGGTACTGGGCCACTGAGTCTTTTTCTCCCAGTTCCATGCCTTTGACCTCCTAACAGGAACTATGTCGCTGTGCTATTCTTCATAGCACGAGAGTCTGTTTGAATAATTCGTATAGGATAAAAATAGCTACTGTTTATTGAGGACCTTCGCTCCCTTCCAGTTCTTTACTAGGTACATTTCCATGCAATCTCGATTGTGCCCCCTAATAACCCTGTGGTTACACACTACCATCTACTTTACAGCTGAGGAAACTAAAGCTCTTAGAACTACCCCTCCTCCCCCCCAAAAAAACCCCAAACCTATATATGGCTAATCTAGGACGTGTGGCCACAGGGATTCCCCTAACTTCGCACCCCTCTGGCATGCAACATAGAGCGAGTACATGGCTTCTCAGTCAGGCATCTGCACTGTTTCCGCAGACCAAGTGCTTCTGGGACCAAATCCTATGCAGCTTCTCCAATCACATCTTTCTTGGGTCATCCTGGCCACTTGCCAACTGCAGTAAATGTCATACAAGGTATTTCTTTGCTTTCAGGATCAGCAGGTGTCAACTGATCCATCTTGCTCACCATGGGAACCTGAGCAAATGCATCTCCATGAAGACTGAAGAGTGCCTTCCTCTCAGGAAACTCAAGGCAAAGACTTACTCCTCAGACAAAGCAAACAGACCCTGGAATGAAGTTTGAAAAACCTCTCTATTCTCCTTCCTGATGATACTAAACTGTGGCTCTGCAATGGATGATATTACGACCCGTTTTGTCCGTTCCCACTCCTGGGTAAGTTTCTTGGATTTTAAGCTTCCATGGACATCATCACTCTTAGGGCTGGCTGGACCAGATCCAGCTTGCCAGTAGAGCACTTATTGAGCATGTGTGACGTCCCTAGGTTCCATTTCTAGCCCTGCAAACAAGCAAAAAGTCCTTGTCACCACTGCTACAATGAGAGAGAGAGAGAGAGAGAGAGAGAGAGAGAGAGAGAGAGAGAGAGAGAGAGAGAGAGAATGGGAAGGGGTCCCCATGCCCCTTCCACCCAACTCCTCTCCTGAAGCTTTTGAGATCTGGGGAGCAGATTAACTTTCTTCAGTTTCCTAAGGGCTTTCTTTCTGTCTGCCAAATACAATATACACTGATCTCATTCCTACAGAAAACTACAATCACCATTTCACAGATGAGGGAATGAATGCCTAGAGACTAAACATAACGGTTTGCCTGGATACTCACCACCTGATTCCCCCAAACCCAACTGCTACCCAAGTCATTGCTTCCCCTGTCCTCATGGTGGGACATGGGCAAGTAAATGTCACACTTTCTAGGACCCATGGACAGCGAATTTGCTGGGCTCATCATAAACAGGCTCTGATGTCAATGTCCTTCACTGCATCCTGCCATGCAAATGATGTCCCCTAAGGACATCATTGTCCTGCAGTGAATTTATTTGCCTGGTCCCTAGGAGAAGCCTTTTTTTTTTTCCTCCTGTGGCATGAAAAGCCAAGGATAAAGCTGGCAGAAACTCCAGAATGAAGGCTGAATGCCTTCATGGGTTCGGTGCCAGTGGCTACACTGGGACCTTCCTGGCCTGCTTGCTGGCACATAGAATTTGGAGGAGAGATCAATCTTGAAGAGAATTTAGCTTCTCTCTTTTTTGAAGTAGCCATGGTCCTCTTCACTAGGTCTGCTGGCAATGGTTAACGCCGCATGCTTTCTCCCCTCTCCTCTGCCTCTTCCTTTCTTTAGGGTTTATTTTCCAACCATTGCCACAGTTTCTCTTCAGAGCAGAGTAAATAAATATTCAGAGTATACTGGCAGAGCAAACCCCTCATGCTGCTCTGACAGAGCCCCAGGTGGCAGATGGTACCAGATTACTCCTAGAGGGTACTGCTACTGTTTATAGAGTTCAAGGCTAACCCGCCACTGCCGTCAATTGAGGCCTAATCCTTTAATTATTCTCAAAATGCCAAAAATAAAGATTGCAAGGAAGGTAATTAATAGGATCATACGGTGTATTCCTCATTTGTAATTATATATTATTATTTTTCTCCCTACTTTGTTCCAATAATGATTTAAGGCCGTTTCCAAAGATACACAAACCCAAGCAAAGATAAATAAAAGGAGTGGGATGTGAATTACAATGTCATGCCTGCTCGAGACATCTTTGCCCCACTCCACATAATAGAGCTGAATTCATAACGCCTTTCAAAAATGAGGTAATTTAGTTCTTTCAATGGCAACACTAGGCTCTTTGTCAAGAGAAAGGGTGTCAGGCAGTCTGGAAAGGACTCGGAAAGGACAAGGGGTCTGTTCTGTAAGGCTGGCAATTTCAGTGTGTGATCCTGGACAAGCTGTTTGTGTTGGTATAACAAAATACCTGAGATTGAGCAATTTATAAAGTAAAGAGGTTTATTTGGCTCATAATTCTGATGCCCAGAAGCTTCCAACAGCATGGCATTGGTGTCGTCGTGAGGGCTGCATGACAATGTGGCAAAGAAGCAGAGAGGATAGTAGTTGCATAAAGAAGGGGACAAGAGAGAGTCAGGTAATGACTTTTGCTTTGCAAGAACCCAGTTTCAAGAAAGCTAATCCACTCCACTGAGACTTGCATTAATCTCTTTAGGATACAGTCACCTAATCACCGCTCACCAGATCACACCGCCTAAAGTTGTCACCACCTCAACACAGCTGGAAAGCAAGCTTCCTGTATGTGAATCCTTGTGTGTGTGTGTGGGGGGGGGGGATTCGCACCATGCTGAAGTCATAGCATTCACCCTCTCTGGACACTGGACTCTGGAATCCCCACAGGTCTCTGTAAGTCCTGGAGGTGCCCCTGGATGTGGGAGGCAGAAACCAACAATGCTCCTCTAGCATGAGGGGCCCCTGTAAGAATCCTTTTCAAGCCAAGCGATTGTGGCACACGCCTTTAATCCCAGCACTCAGGCGGCAGAGACAGGCGGATCTCTGTGAGTTCGAGGCCAGCCTGGTCTACAGAGTGAGTTCCAGGACAGTCAAAGCTACACTGAGAAAAGAAAAAAAAAGAAAGAAAGAAAAAAGAATCCTGTTCAAGAAACCACCTGCAGGCCCCAGAAAGTCCTCTCTCCTTCATCTTTTGCTCTCTGTGTCTCTGTTTCTCCCCTATTCCTGGATGACCCAGACAGTAGAACTTGAATTGTCTCCTATTCTGTGGCAATGATTCCACTTCCAATCCTTAGGCCAGAATGGCGTGAAGGAAGGTCCCCGGGAAGGAGCAAGGTACTGCAGTTTAAGCAGTGCTGTTGACTTTAGAGGCCCTTTATCTCCTCTTCACTCCCATTAACCACAGCTTCCACTTTGAAATCCCAAGCAACACCTAACACAAAGCTTAGCCTATCACTCCATTAAAAAGACTGATAAGAAGCCAGGGGTGGTGATGACACACCCATAATCCCAGCACCGGAGAGGGGTGGAGGAGGCAAAAAGGAAGGTCAAAAGTTCCAGTCCCGCTGGGCCGTGGTAGTGCCCACTTGGGAAGCAAAGGCCAGCCTGGTCTACTACAGAGTGAGTTCCAGGATAGCCAAGGCTACACAGAGAAACTCTGTCTTGAAAACCGCACACACACACACACACACACACACACACACACACACAGAGAGAGAGAGAGAGAGAGAGAGAGAGAGAGAGAGAGAGAGAGAGAGAGAGAGAGTCCAGTCCAGCCTGAGCTACATATAGTAAGAGTGGGTCTCAGAAAACCCTGGAACTTATATTCTCTCTGTCCCATTCAAAGTCACAAGGGACCCACTGCTGCCTGTATTTAGCCTGAGTTTCTCTGAGTGTACGCCACAAAACAGAGCTCCTGGGGCTCAGCCCTGCCTGCCGAAAAACAGAAGCAGACAGCATGGACGCATCTAGCATACGAACTGCAGTACTGCGGAATCCCCTGCTATCCCCTCTGAAAGTGCCTGAGCGTTAGAAGTTGGACTAGGAGCCAGGCAGTAATGGCACACGCCTTTAATCCCAGCACTCGGGAGGCAGAGGCAGGAGGACCTCTGAGTTTGAGGTCAGCCTGTTCTACAGAGCGAGTTCCAGAATAGCTAAGGCCACACAGAGAAACCTTGTCACACACACACACAAAAGATTACACAGTGAGTTGAAAGGCAGTGTGAGCTATGCACAGTGTGAAACCCTGTCTCAAAAAAGAAAAATATACCCCAAAATCTCGTGAACAGAAATACCCTTTCTTCTCAACAGTCTAGCCAGGCTGATTGGAACGGTGTGCCAAGCAGATGTTACAAAAGCCTCTGCTCAGGACAGAACACCAGATCTTTCTTCCCTCCTCTAGCCTTGCTGCCTTTCCTGCAGGGACATAGGGACATCCATTGCTGCCCACAGTGAATGCTCCAGTCCATACGTTAGCTATGTAACCCCACTAGTCACAATTGCTAGTGGTATTTGGGGGTGGGTCTGTGGGAAATAACATGTGTTTGTGTCTCACCTCACGATGCCTCCACCACGTTGTCCTAGAGCAAGGAGACCCTCACCAGATGCCTGCCTCACTCTGGAACTGTAAGTTATGAACCCCTGTGCTCCCTTCTCCTCGCCTCTCCCTCACTGTCTCTTCTTTACATGGTGGTCAGATTTTCTTTCCTTTCTTTCCTTCCCTCCTCCCTCCCTCCCATATACTAAGCACCTCTATTACTATCCCCTCTCGCCCCACTCCTTACTCTATAGCCCAAACTGACCTACAACCCACGCTAGACAAGGCATTTTCGGCAAGCTCCCTGCCTTAGCTCCTTGAGTGCTGAAACTACAGGTGTGAGCCATCATCACCCCTAGATTAAATTTTTAATCTTTATCTTTTAAAGAAATTACATTTTCTTTGTTTATTCATTTAAAGTGTGTGTGTATCCTCTGTGGCCCTTGCGTGGGACAGAGGCCAACTTCCAGGACTCAGTTCTCTCCTTCCACCATGGGGGTCCCAGGGATCAAACTCAGGTAAGTGCTTTTACCTGCTGAGACATCTTGGGGCCTATTTATGTTCCCCTGAGATAATGACTCAAACTGGTCACAAGTTTGCTATATAATTCATATTAGCCTTGAACTCCTGATCCTTTGGCTCTCGCTTCCTAAATACTGGGATTAGAGGCATGCCCCAGCATGTCCACCTTAAATTTCTATTTATAAAGTCCTGGTCTCTAGGCAGCAACAGAAAATGGCCCTGGAGTTGCCACTTTCCTCTGTCCCCCTTCTACCATTCAGTAACGCAGCCTGGGCAGGAATCCTTGATCTTGCCAGCTCACTCCACTGCTCCTCCATCACCAAATCCTGCATTCTTTGCTCTTTGGAGCATGATTCTTCCATTGCTTGTCATCCAATGCCCTGCTTGTCCAGCACAGCCTCTTGTCAATGCCGTGGCAGTGACTGCCTGGCTGCTTTCCTTTTTCCGTGTCTGCCTCTTTCTGGTTTACTCCCTACGCAGAGGCCTGTAGGTAGCTATACTGCACCTGTGTGCAAAAGCCAGCCCAGGCACTATGTACCCCATGGGGAGATACCAAATGGCTGTCCTCAGGGCATCTGTGTTCCAGCAGGCCAGACAGCAACTAAACAATTAAGGTAACAGGTCATACAATGATCCAAGATGGTGGACAATGGACAGAAGAGAAAAAGTGAGAGCCAGTGAAGGGCATCTAAGAAGCAGAGTGGGGAGTCGTCTGCATGACCCCTAGGTGACCAGGGGTCAGAGCCTTGTGTGAGTGAGAGTGTGTGGGTACATGTTAGCCACAGTGCTCGTGTGGCAATCAGGGGACAACTTGCTAGAATGGAGGGATTGAATTCAGGCCTCAGGTTCCGTGGCAAATTCCACTGTACACTAGAACACCTCACCAGCTCAAGGCCTTTTAGAGACAGAAGAGGGAAGGAAAACTTGAAAGGCGGTGAGGGGTCAGGCAAGTGGACCTGTCTCTGCAGGAAGGGTGTTGGAGGCACAGGCATGGGCAGTGTGCAAAGGCCTTGGGGAAAGAGGGTGCCTGCTCTGTGTAAGGGGGAAAAACAGGATCCTAGCATGGCTAAACTACAATAGGAGAAAGGATGTGGGTTATAGGGAAGCAGGTTCTGTGGCAGGCCTCTATGAAACTCCAAGGAGCTTCAGGGCATTCACTGTAGAGATAAAGATGAAAGACCTCAGCTGCTCTCCAGGCCAGGCTCAGGCCTGGGGTTGTTTTCAATCCCTACTCACCTTGGGGCCCACCTGGAGGCTGTTCCTGTTTACTCTACCTTGGTCCCCTTTGTCCAAGCACCCAGAGTTCTGAAGAAAAAACTCCCAAGAACCCTTCTCCAGACCACGGTCCATGCCCTGGGTAAGGGCTTCACCATCTCAAACTGTCCCCAATCCTTCCCCCACAACCTCCCTCCTCTCAGTACATGGTAACTTAGCACCACACCTATGATCCAATGATGGGCTCACGTGGCTTGTGGCATATTTGAGGGTTCATTCTTCTGCACCATGAGCTTCCCTGGATGCTAGAGGCCCAGTGGTGACCTGAACCACCAAGAAGCTTATCCCTAGGAGATGGCCACACAAAAAGCAAATAAAAACAACTTTGGGAGATAGTGGGCAGGTTTACACAGATGACCCAGGGCACTGTGAGCTCAGGTGGGCCAGAACACCTTTAGTCAGGGTGACCAGAAGTCAGGAAACAGCCGAAGGCTGAGAAGGCAGCAGTTAGATGAGTCTCTAACAAGGATCGCTCCAGGCTTAGACAAACTACAAGTACACAGGCCCTGAAGGACAACTGACCTTGGCTTCTGTCCTGGTTAATTTTCTGTCAGTTTGACACAAGCTAGAGTCATCAGTGAGGAAACGCCTCCACAAGATCGCACTGTAGGCAAGCCTGTGGGGCATTTTCTTAATTAGTAATTGATGGCACCTTTGTGGGTGGTGCCATGCCTGGGCTGGCAATCCTGGGTTCTATGAGAAAGCAGGTTGATCAAGCCATATGAAGCAAGCCAGAAAGCAGCTCCCCTCCATGGCCTCTGCATCAGCTCCTGCCTCCAGGTCCCTGGCCTGAGTTTCGATACTGACTTCCTTCAATGATGAACAGTGATGTGAAAGAGTAAGCCAAACAAACCCTTTCCTCCCCAATTTGCTTTTTTGGACATGGTTTCATCACAGCAATAGAAATCCTAAAACAGGGGCTGGAGAGATGGCTCAGAGGTTAAGAGCATTGCCTGCTCTTCCAAAGGTCCTGAGTTCAATTCCCAGCAACCACATGGTGGCTCACAACCATCTGTAACGGGGTCTGGTACCCTCTCTGGCCTGCAGGCATACACACAGACAGAATATTGTATACATAATAATAAAATAAATAAATATTTTTTTTTAAAAAAGAAATCCTAAAACATAGCCGGGCAGTGGTGGCACAAGCTTTTAATCCCAGCGCTCGCTCGGGAGGCTGAGGCAGGTGGATCTCTGTGAGTTCGAGGCCAGCCTGACCTACAAGAGCTAGTTCCAGGACAGGCTCCAAAGCTACAGAGAAACCCTGTCTCGAAAAAACAAAAAACAAAACAGAAAAAATGAAAGGAAGGAAGGAAGGAAGGAAGGAAGGAAGGAAGGAAGGAAGGAAGGAAGGAAGGAAGGAAGGAAGGAAGGAAGGAAGGAAGGAAATCCTAAGAGAGTTCCTCTGAGGAAGTAAGGCTAGCTCCTAAGGCTGAACCAGAGTGACTCTTTCTAGGACAATGATTCCACAGCCAGGAAGCCTTTTGCATTCCCCCTGTGGCTATGTCTATCCCTCAGGCTAGCTCAGCTGACGGACAGTGCTTTTGTGGAATCTGAAAGTTTCAGACACAAGGGTTACCAAGACGGTTCTGGGAAAAATGCTTG